ATATCTATACAAAAATGCCAGCATTTACAGATTTGATTTACATGTTAATAAATATTGGAAATTGGAAAATGTAAGGTTTATAGTGAATCATCAACAATAAACACCAGGTCATTCCATAGTAACTGCTATAAACATCTTCCATTCATTTCTGGTCAATTAGTTTTTCGTCACAAGTACTACAGCAGTGATTTTAAACTACAGTTATTTACAATATTTTGTGTGAGTGCTGAGATTGCATCCAGAAAGGTCAAAATAAACAAACCGGAAAACACCACCATTGAATCTTGACCATGAATGAATGTTTTTGACAAACTGGATTATTATTGTGGAGAACATATCTCACATGCGCATGTGCTTATCAATGCTATCTAATTCAATTTCAACATTTTAAAAATGTTATTCAAAGAAATAAAGACAAACTTGACATAAATAATTCTTCCATATTATAGTTAATATATTTATATTTTTTTTCACAACATTACCAATATACATGTATTAAGAATACATTTTTTTATATTTATGTACGATTCATAAGAACTACAATTTGTTGCCTACAAATAAATAGATTGCCGACATTTATTTGTTGTTTGTAGCACAAATAGGTTGAATTGTTTATTCAAAGTACTGAGTCAAAAACGCGAGTTTGATGTAAACTAACTCCCAGAGTAAACGGACCTTGGCTGGCGAGATCGCTGGCGCCCTCATTTCTGGGGTGTTTGTTATTGGCAATGCTATTTTTGAAGGACGCCTGGTTATTACCTCGTTTGCTACTTGTTGACAACTTCAATTATCATGTGTGCTAAATTCCGTCATAATTTTCTACAAATTCATGACGTACAAATTAGATGGTAGGTCACAAACGTTGGCTGTGAAGTTTCAGAACTTAGCTGGAAAGTCGAAAACTACATTGTGTGGAAAGTCGGACAATTGGTTGAAAAATTAGCTGGAAAGTCGGAAAAGTAGGATGAAAAGTCAACCAATTGGTTGCAGTGGGCGCAGGTCGAAGAAATGGTTGCAGAGTTCGCTGAGAAGTCGGACAATTTGAGTGGAAATTCAAAACAATAGTTTCAGCTGAAGTAAGCTGAAAAGTAGTAGAAGTCGACAAAATGCGCAGTTATGGTTCATCTTGTTATCGCATATTACATACGCATGCGCATATCAAGTTACTATTTTTTTCATTTTTTCCAAAGAAATAAAGAGAAACCCGACATAATTATTCGTTTTATATTATAGTAAATATATTTATATCTTTTGTACAATAATAACATTATATCCTATTAAGAAATATAGTTACATTGTTCACAATCAGGAAATTATTATTATTATTATTATTATTATTATTATTATTATTATTATTATTATTATTATTATTATTATTATTATTATTATTATTATTATTATTATATGACGAATAAAAAACAATAAAAGTTGTCAACGCCAGAATGAATCGATATAACTATTCAAAACCTTACAAGACAAACAAACCTACGCGACTTAAATGTCAACTATTTTCATGCATCGTTGCACAAAACAAGATTGCTACATTTCCTTGTTGTCAGCCTGGATTACAATATGGTGAATTCAGATACTAGTAGTTGTTTTTGTGGAATTCAAATTGCGCTGCCGCTGTGGATTCTGGGTATTGTATTCCAAGAATCATGATTAAAACCGTTGTGTTCAACAAGAACACTATGTTGATATGGCCATCGATTCTAAACAAAAAAAAATAATAACTCCGTCTATTAAAATAGAAATTTTGTGAAAATAAAACAATAAACTATTTAAAGTAGTTGCAAAAAAGAAACTTCGTGAAACAAAAAAAAAAAAAAAAAATATTTACGTTATTGTCAAATAAAATTGAAGTACCCGGTAACATTATACATTATAAACCTCGGCACCTCCTCTATGTTATTTCTTTTTATATGTGTATACTTGTATATTTACATTTTTCATGTAGTCACTTGAAATTACCAAAACGAGTCGACCACGGTTGTCTGAGGGTACATGTAGTTGACGGTCGACCATGGTCACGTTCACCTGGGAAATAAGACGAATGTGAACAACACGTATAAAATTACAAGGTAATTTACGGTTGTGCTCATGCCACAGTCCTGGCGCGTTTCAACCCTTGGGATATTTTACTATAATAGGGCGTGTCTACATCGCGCGTTAAAATTTGCATATTATAACATTAGCGCATAACAAAGATTGTGATAAAGGAAAGAGTGGTATAAACAAAGATCAGTGATTACTTGAAATCGATACCAGGAAGGGGGTGGGTAAAAGAAAAGTTATATAACATTTTATTATTTAATAATTTATTAAAATATATAAGTTTGTCCAACTCCCTGTGGTTTAACTAGGTAATTCATGGCATGATTGGAACGTATCGAAGGAATTTTAGAAGTAAAAGTTGGTATTTCGTGCACATCGAGGCCAGATCAAAACCCCATTCATACTTGTCATCGATATAGATCGCGTTGGGTTGTGGGAAAATCACTGTTTGTCAAGATAAATCTCGCGCATGCCTAACCAGTACGTCAATGGCCTAACGCGACGACAACCGAACACTTTGATCCACAGAAAACCTCACACTGACACTTGCAAGCATCACAAGGCTGTGGATTTTGTACAATTCATGAGAAATTTTGTCCAACATCCTTCCGAAGTCGAATTTTAATAGGGGAACCTCTTAAAGCGGGAGGG